ACGGAAGGAATTAAACAATAAAATTGGGCTTTGGTTTGCAGAGACATGATTTTTGTTCATCAGTGATTCATATCCTGTAGATTCCACCACTAACCTCGCATTTTAATCGTATCATTTCGGTAGCCAACCTTAAGCCATCCATCTGGTCGATCGATGGGGAAAGAACAAAAAACAGAAGTTTAAAAAAGTAGAGAATACTCTCAAAATAGAGAAGCAGAAAGTAAACTAGATTTGTGACAGAAGAGCAGATACGCGAGTGCCACCGTTTACAACACTCGTCCACACTACTCGGTGTTCAATCGGTTAAGTTCATTTTTTTACAGCCATTAACCATGCGCTTTTCGGCACCGGTTTTCGTTACTCTATCTTGACTGCACATTTGAAATACCGATAGTTTGCGTTAAGCCTCCACCCCGATCGGCAATATCGGTGCATCATACAGTAGAATCGGCAGCAATAGATGCTCTTTTGCGGACAACCCAGCGTCGTGCAGAGGCCACAAACTGCTCAAAAAAAGAAACTCAGGCAAAAGTCATTGCCATAGAGTGTTTATCCGCACTGTTCAACGTTTCCATGTCGTTCTCGATCGCAAAGCATTCTAGCAAACACTGTATCCCACACACGGTTCAGACAAAAACACAAAGGGAGCGGGGTGAGGCACATTGGGACCAGCTGAATGAGCAACCCTACGCGGGGATTTCGGCGAGAAGATGAATCCGTTTCAAACCGCTGGTTTATTTCGATAGAAGCAAATTAAATCACAGAGATGAAACAGATGGATTCATTTAATGTCCTGGGATCGCGGAACTGATAGATTTAGAATCGCTTAAACGACAACCGTCTGATAGATGCAAGCAGTTGTTTCCTTTCAATGATACTGATTACTCTGTTGGTATGCTTCAGTGGCACACACTGTCATTTTTTATTAAACAACGAACACCAATACTATGAAGTGCACTTTGTATTCGGCCTTTATCGGGTTCGAAAGCCTCCTTGTGGACGGAGGTGGGTGTCTCGAGTTGTGGCTGGTCACACTTCCCTCGCGCCTCATGAACTACTCCTATACGACCAAGAGTCCCAAATAGCCTCTGTTGAGGAAGCCCTACTCATTGCCTTCCCCCGGCTGAAGTGTGTTCTCACAAAAGTGAGAGAGAGAAAGTTATAAACGGGTTGGCGAACCACTGGTAGTTGGTTGAGAACCCTGATTCCAAACCGACCAAGAGGAGGCGTACGAACCACCCATCCACAAACACACACAATATGGTTGCGGTAGTGGTCATCGGCTCGATTGGGCACTGTGGTCGTTTGACCCCCGCCGAAGGACGTACGATCCGAAGAACTGGACGCCGGCCTCCAATGAATTGCGGGTTTCACACTGTCTTGTGGGTCAGGTTTTGATTAACCGAAGGCTCCGGTTTCGAATTCTTTGAGCAAGTTTACTTGCTTTGTCCTGGGCAACCAGCAATATCGTGTGCATGAGCAACTCATGGACATTTTTTCTGTTTGTAAAGATTATTGTACCATGATTTGTTCAGTACACAGTTTGTAAAACATAAAGACAACACACATGTCTGAGCTCAGACTGTGTGCTAACGAAGAATAACCACAGACAAGTGAGGACGCTTATTTGACGGTAACACCCGCCGATTTAGGTCCCACAAAATCACCGTTCACTCCAGAAGTTTTTGGTTGAAAATCGGTTCACAGTTCACTAATTCCACTTACATGCTAGATATGTTCTTTTGCAAAATTCTATCTGATAACAACCGAGAATTCGATGAGTTCAGAAAAAGTAGTTACATGACTTTTTCAATACACACCGTGTGATGAATAGCAGACGGGGTAAGCCCCACCGTAACGAGGATCTGCTGTTGACTGATGGAAACAGGTAACCTAATCCCCAGGACTCGGAGTGGTGAACTACATAAGGCCCCGCTTGGTCAGGCGTAGTATTTAATTTGACGATAGCAAAACTGCCTGCCACCGAACTTGGGTGGCGGTGGCGGAGCTCGAACCTCGGACCACAGGGTCCAAAGGACGCCTGTGACAGTGACTAAACCACTGCACCACCACCAACTGATTCGCCGAAAGCACGCCGAACCTGGAATATTTCCGGACACCGAGACAAAGCTGCACTCATGAATATCATCTATTGAAGCTCCCTACACAAGCCACTGTCAACTATAACCGAATATGAGATGGCACATACACACACTCACACACACTGTCAAGATGTTCCCATATTCCACTGCCCTGGATATTGTTGGGTGATTCACAGAGGAGAGAATACGATGAATGATGATGATATGCTATTCCTTGGAAAGGTTAATAATCAAACTTAACGGGGAGACGCGGGGCCATAGGTGCTGCCGATCAGTCCGACCTGACGAAAAGAATCTCAAAAGAGCGGTACATTGTGGTACATGTTGTAGAAAGAGGACATAGTTGAACAACTTACCTTGCGACGAGAGGGTTTCTGAAATTTGTGGAACAGAAATAAGAAAGGATATTGATTGAATATGACAGAAAAATCCGAATAACAAATCAGGTTAACAGCAAATGTATACGTACATAGAAAGGTACTTATACCGCACAAAAAAATGAAATGAATATAACCACAGTAGGAAAGTGTTTATTAGCGCTTTGATAGTGGACCACAGAACAGGGTTGATTTGAAGGGCTTAATCCTGAATCATAAACAGAATTGTCTCATCGTACAGCGAAATAAAGCAAAGCGAACTTCACTGATCGCTGCCAAACTCGCAATGCATACAAGGTCAGTGGTGAAATTTAAGGTGGACAGGTATTGGACCTACTTTGAGGGAGGGGAAAGAAGGCGAACCTCTATGGTCAATACACAGAGTGCACAATCGAACTCTGCATATATTCCGTTTCAAGCATTCTGACCTGAGAAGAAATGACAACAAGAACGCCACTGCTGTCGGTTCGACACCATAGCCTTCAATGTCTCCAACCAACCAGTTGTGGAGTCTTTCAGACCCCCAACTTGGAAGGCGCGAAACACCTACTCTACCTAATCACACTGTGAATTTCTTCATGCCTCGTCTCCGTATCATCTGTTGACCTTAACGTGGTTTCCTCCTGATTCGAGCGGCTACAGTGAATGAGGCGCGATGTGGTAGACACAAACTGGGCATACACAATACGTGCTCTAGCCAGCAAAGTCTACAAATCTGATTTCGGTGTGCTAGCAGGTTTATACCTGATGGACCTCCGAACACACGAAGGCTTACTCCCAGGTTACTAACACGTCCGATCCATCCAGCGTGGGCTAAACTACGTAAACACCGATAGTCGAAAATCATTAGTCGATCGATATCTTCTACCCGCAAATTCAACGTCTCACAACCATAAAGTAGGACTGAACGAACGCTAGCACAATAAACACGCCCTTTCAACTTCAGTGAAACGTCGCGTCTACGCCAAAGGTGTTTCTGTCCTGTGTATATTGTTCGAGCCTTGGAAATGCGAGCGGCTATCTCCTTTGCTGCGCTTCCTTCGTTAGTCACGTAATTACCCAAGTAGGAAAAGTAATCCACCATAACTACTTCCTGACCATTTAGTTTCAGAGCGCGAGTAGGCAATACCCAGTTCTACAACTTAACACTTCGAAGGTGCAAAGCACAAACCGAATGTGACGATATCACTTTTTAGTCTAATAAGTGCGCTTTTCGCGTCTTCCATGCATTCGAGCAGACAGACAGTGTCATCGACGTACTCCAAATCGCACAGTTTTTCCCCAGCTGCCCATTCAACACCTACGTTTCGGAGAGCACTTAGTGCGTTTTCAAGTACTTCATCTACAGTAAAATTGAAGAGGAACGGTGAAAGAGGGCACTCTTGACGAAAGCCGCTGCTGGTGTCGAACAGCCTACTAAGCTCGTTGTAACACCCTCAATCAATGTGAGTACAGCGACCTCAGCAACTTAACGCACTTCAGGAGCATCTTTTTTCGAAGAAGGGAACCCATTAAAAACTTCGCGGTCAAGTGAGTCGAACGCTCCTTTCAGGTCAAGAAACACTGCGATCGTTGGTCGAGTATGACGCAGCTCAAGGACTTGACGCTACGTCAAAATTGTCTAACCTACAACACAGCTGGACGGTACTTTGATGTGGCAATAAATTCCACGTCAATCGAATTATATGCCTTTCGAAAGGAGTTCAATTGTCTCGCTGCTCATTCGAACCCGCTACCACTTTCCTAGGACTCTTGGAGCAGATTTATACACCTCACCATGGATGGTGTTGCGGTAGGGTTTAGTAGCTCACTTAGACGAACTACCTACTGGTAGCTCGCCAACCCTGTTGTAGCCCGGAGATAGGCTTTTTTCAAGTCAATGGAAAAAATCTTTGCCATGAGAGGGTGATGATTAGGGTTCCCCTAGAGAAGACAGTAAGCGCATGTCATGTGGAAACGTTTGGAGGGGAGCCCGAAGCAGTAAAGACTGGCTACAGAAGCACCAACCGGCAACCATTGGCGTTAACAGTAAAACCATTTTTCTTCTCATTATCTAACCAAGGGTTAACAAAATACTGATTTAGGGTTTCATAACGTCTTGCAGGTGTAGTCATTTCCCATTGATTTTAGTGATAATATGAGGGAAACATTGATGCGTCTATGTAAAATACCGATCGTGCTGCCCATCTTCATCTGTTACAATTTTGGGTCTAGCCGGTATCACCGCATAGCTTTCAGAATTGGCTTAGTTGTCATTGGACCCAGTTGTATGGACGAATAACAACGAAGAGTACAGTCACGAGTTGAGGAAATATCACATTGGACGATTCGCAACATTCCATTCTTACCTCTGTTCTTCTAGCCAAATGGGCAGTCAAAACACAGCAACCAAAACCGGCGCACAAAAGTGCACCGTTAACGGTTATAAACACTGAAACGGATATGAAGACTGACAATTGAATAACTGCTTAGGCCCAGAAACAATAGACGATTTTTTGTTGGGGCGGGGGTGGGTGGAGAACTGGTTAAAGTGTCATCCTCGGGCAAAAACAGAGAACAGAGAACTTTGCAGGTTCAAGTTACACTACTGACTATAAAAAAGTAGACACATTGCAATTGGTATTGCAGATGACCATGAAAACGGATTTAACTTACCGCTGGTATTATTGGTGTGCGTGCAGTAGATGACGGGGGTAGATTCTCTTTGTCTGGTAACGATGCAACCGACGGACTGGACTGAGAGACATTGTGACCGAAAGACACATTCGGTAACATCGTGGTGCTCGGAACAGAGTTCAGCGTAGAGAGACACGGTGTGGCAGATAACCCTGGAATAGATGGTGCCACAGTAGCTTGCACAGAAGATAAACCACGAGGATTTGGACTGTCCAAGTCCACGTTAACTGGAACAAGCACAGTGGATCCCGACGATGTTGCCCATGTTAAGCCACTAACTGAAACAGACGGAGGAAAATTACAATTATTTGAAGACTGAAACGAAGAGTTTCAAACAGGGGAAAACCGTTAATTGTCGTAAGGAACGATGATCACTACAGCCTTCATAGTTAGTCATCTTAGGCGTGCGACCCCCTGACTTGGTCCGATTTGTTCCTTCAAACGCTTAGTGTTTTGAGCCTCATTCACGGGATCGGATATGCCAGTACCCCAAATCAGGAGCAACCTAGCTGTAATAGTAATATCTACTTATTTTATAGCTTCTATTAGTGGAATACCACTCAAACGTACGAGTTCTCGATTTCGACGATGATGACGACGGTTGCTGGAGAATCACAGATAAAAGATAATGAATTCTCAGCAGAAAAGTATCATGAGAAAATGATTAACATGATTACCATGTGCGGTACAAGTAGTGTACCTTGGTTCTGTCAGAACACTGTTTGTCCTTCATTGTTTTTGAGCACGGGCCAGTCGTTTTTTCACCACTGTCGAGGTGGCTAACTTTTCTCTATTTCTAACACAGGGAAAACATTTTCAATTACATTCGGATTCGGAAAATGTCCATGATGAACCTGGCATGGTATGTGACCGTGAGCTTTATCTTGGAGAACTATGTCTATTTGCATTTGCATTTTGAGAGTGGCGGTCACCGAAAACCGGCTTTATCAATGAAATAAACTCAGCCTTGTCGTGAATGCCACGTACGGGGAGCCAGCAACAAGGCGTTTAGTATTCAATTCCCTTCTAACTCATGAGACGGGATGGATATTTAATTTTCTCGCCCGGTGAAATGGGCTTCTTTGGAGAACTTGGCACGGAGAAAATCACCTTTCTCCGCATGTTGTATTACCTGTCAACCACCAGTGAGATGGCTGGGTGATGCGATTCAAATTTATCGGGAAAATTAAAACATGCCCCATATTGTTGGTTATTCAATAATAATCGGCTCACATCAGTGGATCTCAAGTGCAGTTCCAATTGAGTCAACGTTTTCCGAAACTAGGTATAGGAAAATTGCGGCTAATCCGTCAGAACTATCCTCAATATGGGGTGTAGGAGTAGCACCTCTAACTCGAAGGGTTGTCTGCCCCTTTGGGGCATACTCTGTTCTTTGGTCTCCACCAGGCGCTCAGCTCGTACATGTGGCTCCAAGAAGTGGTTTGGATGCAACAGCGACCATCCCACGACAAACCGCTCGACAGGCGAGCCAAACTAGGTTGAGGGTAACTGGGAGCTCAACTCTCGGCGAGTCGGTGTCTAACGCACGTGTTGGGCGGACGAAGTCGCTTTCACGACTCAACGGTAAAGGCAATGAATTCGCACTCATCAGGGATGCATGGACCTCTGTTCAGCTAGAAACTGTCAATGGCGTATGAGCTTCCCCCCCCCCCCCCCCGGCCCTCCCAGAGGGCCACCGGCAACCATGCGCTACCTTCCTACTGCCTTGCAGTTAGCAGTTGGATGTGCAAAGGTTAGAGATGCCACCTCGACCCAAAGCCGCGTGACACTGGGGACTTTTCTTGTACGTAAATCTCAAGAAATTTGATGGGCATTCACTTGATATTTATGAATCCGGCTTATCCTCTCCCAGTAACTAGCCGTCGTAAAGTAAAGTTAGTAATATGGTTTACATGCACCATTGTTTATTCAACGAGCCGTGAACCCTAAAGGTAGACTTTGAAGGTCAATGTTTACTATTCGGGTAATTTATTTTTCACCCCGTTCATCATGAAAGATTTTGAGGGAGTAGTTTTTATTCAAATATTTGTCAATTTATTTAAGATAAAGATTATCATCTACCGTATGACAAATAAACGCTGCTACCGGGAAAAAAAACACTTAATAATAATAATAATAGTTAGTAGAACGAATGAAATTCCAGATTGCTCTGTATCAAACATTTTTCAATCCTGAGCTCTTCCATTCGTACTGCTGTAAACTTTATGGTGACACTCAAGACCAGGATAATTCAAATTGTGATACATGAGAATTAAGCATATCGAAGCAGGAGACAAAGTTCAGAATAAATACTACTCACACAGCGATCGAAACACGAATATGATATTGCAAAAACTGCAGCACATTTGTCAATTGAAGGTTATGTCGCACTAGTTCGATCGGTGAGTGTACCATGACAACACAGACAAACAACAAGAAAAACAAACAAACGAGTAACCATGTCACTAGAAAATCATTCTATAATCAGTGCGTGTATGTTTCAGTTTAGCAAGGAAAACACAGATGAAAATGAAACAATGAACCTAAATAATTAATCGTTTGTTTGAGGGCAATGGTAGTTTCGAGGTGAAGTTCGTTGTCATCCGTTAACACTAGTCTTTTGGGATTCCAAGTCTGCATTCATGTCAGTCCATGCTTTTCGCAGAAATTTTCGACATCTCTCGGTTTAATAAAGATGATCAGAGCACTCAAGTTGTGGGCAACTCCAATCTGACACCAATTTCAAAGATTCACTTGATTTATTCTCCAAGGTACATAATAGCTTTTTGGAACTTTGGCTATTATTTTCGCAGCGGGAATTTATTTGCTACCGAATACGCTTCGTATGTTATTCATAGTCTCCGGGCCATAGAACATAGTTAGTCATAGAACATAATTAACCGGTGGTGGTGGTGGCGCAGTGGTTTAGTCGTTGTCACAGGCGTCCTTTGGACTTTACGGTTCGAGGTACGAGTCCCACCACCGCCACCGCCACCTAACTTCTGTGGTAGGCAGCTAGGCTGTCGTCCGGTCCAATACCACACCTAACATATCGGGGCTTTATGTGGTTCACCACTCCAAGTCCCGGGGATTAGGTTACCGGTCTCCACCACTGAACAGCAGGTCCTCGTGACCATGGGGTTTTCCTCATCTGCTATTCATCACACGGAAGTGCGTTACAAAAAATTAAAAAATCCAAAGCATTATTCTGATACGTGCAAGACAACCCTCGGGCAAGTCGTGAATCGACCCTTCCATTTATACATGCCCAAAAATGACGCGGAAGTATACGACGTATCACGTTTCTCTATATGTTTATTCCATCCTTCAGTTTGACAACTAAATAAACAACATAGGACTAAGTGTGAAAAAGCTGTATGAAGACGATGAACTGATATGAACTGATATCTCTAGAGTACTGGAACTTGTCCGGTCACGTCAAATTGATCAACCTTAGCGATGGCCTGAAATACAGTTAACCACTATCAGATTCAGGAGGAAGGGGTGAGAATACTTCTAAAAGCATGCCTTTATATATATAACAAACAATAATATATAATATACAAACGTACTGTTTATACGAAGGATAAACTTTACTGGCTAGCATGAAAATGATTAGAAATTCCAAGAACTAGAGACCTGTAAACGAAGAATCATAGTTATAAAGCAAATTGCACTACAAAAGAAATGCATTTCACACAGGCGAGAAAATCTAGAGCATGATAAACGCGGATAGACGTAACAACAGTCTGTCAGGAAATATGCACCAATTTGATGAATTGCAATCGATCGGGACTGGAAGTCCGCAGTAAGTCGCCTACCTTGAGCCATGGAGAAAACAACGGATTTCCCCAAGGAATTTACCGGTCCTTGGACTACCGACGGCGAAGAACTAAACTGAATAGGTTGTGGTGTTTTCAATCCGACCATGGATGGCGTGGTTGTTAGTGTGGTTGTGGTGCCAGTAACGGGTATAGTGGACTGATACAATATTAGAGTGGCCATGGACGACGGACCACTATTTCGAACCAGTGGCAAATCGCGCATACTGTCCCCGAGAACCACGAGTGGTTTGGACCAAACGGATTCGGAATGAGTAGGAATGGATCCCGGGGAGGAAGCTCCGACACCAGGCTGTGTCTCCAGGTAAGTAACAGGCTAAACACAGAGAATAAAAAATTTCTGGGCATTTAATTTATTGCAAAGGAATGTCATATGCCAATAGAACAATAATGACTGAATAACAAGTTCAACACAGAACAGCCCAAAAAGTACCAAAACAATCGCC